CAGTTCTGATTCATATAAGTTAGATTATTCCCAAGATAAACACCTAACAGTTTCAACCCCTCGCTGTTTCATTTGATATTGAGAGGGCAGTAGGTGATGTTGCGCCAGCTACCTACCCATAACCCTTTTGATTTTTGGAGATTGATTTTTGAGTTTGACGCAAGCTCATAGACCTGTAACCAGCGACTCAGTAAGTTGAAATCCTGCTTGCGAGTTATTAAAAAAATTCCACGTCATCAGCGTAAGCAGTGAGTTCAGAATGTTGGTTTTTGCTGTGAGGTATAACCAACCCTTCAATGTTTCCATCATTCCTGATTTTATGAAGTAGTGGTTCAATGGCAGTGACGTAGAGGGCAGTGGACATTGAACACCCTTGCCTAATGCCACGGGCCACTGTGATGGGTGTAGTAAGGGCGCAGTTAACTCGGACCAGGGACTGGGCATTGGTATACATGAGGCGAATGTAAGAAAGGAAACGATCACCAAAACCAAAGGCACGAAGCGTATTAAAGAGGTATCCGTGATGTATCCTATCAAATGCCTTTTCCTGGTCAATGGCAACAATAGCCAGGGGTGAGTTAGTTAAGTTGGCATAGTCAATACTGTCACGCAGTAGATTTATATTGTCATGAATATGCCTATTTGGTATGCTGCAAGTTTGGTCTGGATGAATAATGCTGCCTAAAACCCTGCGCAAACGCAAAGCAAGCAATTTAGTAAAAATTTTGTAATCGCTACATAAGATTCACAAGTTGCCAGTGTTTTACGTTGGTAACGTCTTTTTTTTAGGGAGAAGAGTGACCACGGCCCTTGTGCAGGATAGTGGGAGCACATATATCATATCATACCATTGCAGATACTGTTTCTTCATACACTCTAGCTACGGCCCGGCGGCAGATGGATGTCGCTACATGTTTGTAATGACCACTGTAACGTTAGTGCCTCTAATACATTGCCCCTTGTATTGCAAGAGCTACGGCTCTTCCTTTTGTAATGGTATGTTCCATTACGCATGCGTAGTCAGTAAAAATATTACTGTCGGGCATTGCCTGAGGTCATCCTTGTGTACGATCATTATTCTTTTGAATACAAAGTCAAGTAGACTTTACATGGTGTCAGAAGTGGTCTTGTTGCTAAATGAATGCACAAAGAAACGTTTTGTAATCCAGAAATCCATATCGGCCTGAAATTGAATCGCCGAGGTGAGTTTTAAACTGATCAGACCAACTTTCCTTGTTCGAAGTATGGCGGATAATCAAGCACAAGGAAATGTTCCCCGTCCATCGAACTTTACATCTAATGTTCCACTGCCTCCAACACTTGAATTGAAGGGTAATCTTGCCAAAAATTGGAAGAAATGGAAACAGATTTGGGATGCATACGAAATTGTAACCAAT